TCGGGATCCGCATAGGTGTCCGCATAGGAGTCTGGTCTGCAGTGGAAATCTCATGGGGGTCCGCACAGGGATGCGCATGCGCATCCGCATAGGGATCCGCATGCATAGGGGTAAGGATCCGCATAGGGATTCGCATAGGAATTCACATGGCCATGCGCATGGGCAGCATCCGCATCGGGATCCGCGTAAGCATCCGCGTAAGCATCCGCCATTTTTCCGCAGTCTGCCGGTGCAAGGGCCGGTTGAAGCAGAGAGTGGGGACACAATGTTCTCACACCGTTGCAAGAAGGAGCGGACAAACTCGCAGAACAATCTCACATTAGTTCCGATGGAGTATGTTATTATCGGCATTATGTTCCTGCTGTTGCCCCTCTCCTCCTGCCTCCCTCACGCGTGCTGCAGCGCCGACCCGCAAGACAAGGGGGGGGGGGAGGGCGAAGGATGAGGATGAGGAAGGGGAGGAGGAGGAGGAGGAGGAGGAGGAGGAGGAGGAGGCGGAAGAGGAGGAGGAGGATAAGGAGGAGGAGGAGGAGGAGCTGGAGAAGGAGGAAGAGGAGGAGGAAGGGGAGGAGGAGGAGGAGGAGGAAGAGGAGGAGGAAGAGGAGGAGTAGGAATATCAGGAGGAGGAGGAGGAAAAGGAGAAGGAGGAGAAGGAGGAGGAGGGAGGAAGGAAGAACGTCGCAGTCTATTATCAGCACTGCCCAGGCGTGGCGTTTAGCTGTCCGCAGCAAATCCTCACCGACATGCTCGTTCTACCTGTCCTCAGCGCTGCGTGCAGCGGATGCTGCGGTGTAGACAGGCGCTGAGGTGTGCATAGGCGCTGCGGTTCACGCACGCATTGTGGTGTACGCAGGCGCTGTGTTGCATATGGCTGCTGCGGTGTACGCGTTCGCTGTGGTGTACACTGGCGCTGTAGTGCACGTGAGCACTGGTGTACACTGGAGCTGCGTCGCGCACGGCTGCTGCGGTGTACGCAGGCGCTGTGATGCACAAGCGCGCTATGATCCACGCAAGTTTTGTGGTGGACACAAGGAAAGCGCGCCAGTGGATGGGATGGCCCTGAATACACAAAAGAGGGGGTGTGCTCGCAGAGCCCCCCCCCCCTTCAATGGGGGGTGTAGGATTTTCGACTCCCCCCCCTCCCCCCCCTAAGGGGGGGGGGGTCCGAACCCCCCTCCCCCCTTTGAAGGGGAAGGGGGGGCTCCAGACCCCCCCTCCCTCCCCTCCCCCCCTTGGCGCTAGAAGGGGGGGGGGGGGTCGAACCGCCCCTCCCCCCCTCCCCCCCTTTGCGCCGAACAGGGGGCTGGGGAGGGGGCCTCTCGGTAGTGAGTTGAGAGTAGAGTGTTTTGAATAGCGATTGGTGCGTACTGGGTATTTGATAGTGAGTCATGCGCAGTGGGTCGTGGGTGGTGAGTATGAGTAGTGAATAATGGGTAGTGGTCGAAGTGAGTAGCGCGTAGAGGTTAGTGAGTAATTAGTAGTGAGCTCTGGGTAGTGAGCAGCGGGAAGGAAGTAGTGAGTAAGGAAATGTGAGTCGTGAGGTGTGAGTAAGGTGTAGTGAGTGCATATGGTGAGTAGTGCGCAGAGAGTAGGGATGAGGGAGTAGACCGTAGCGAATAGAGAGAACTGAGTGGTGAGTAGTGAGTATTACGCAATGAGTAGAGAGTAGTGAGTGGCGAGTAGCGAGTAGCGGGTAGGGCGTAGCGAGTAGGGAGTAGCGAGTAGCGAGTAGTGAGTAGTGAGTAGCGAGTACGGCGTTCTGAGTAGTGAGTAGTGTGTAGGGAGTAGTCAGGAGTCAGTAGTGAGTAGTGAATAGTTCGTAGCGAGTGGTGAGTAGCGAGTAGGGAGGAGTGAGTAGTGAGTAGTGAGTTGTGAGTAGTGAGTAGGGAGTAGTGAGTAGTGAGTAGTGAGAAGCGAGAAGTGGGTATCGAGTAGTGGGTAGTGAGTAGAATCGTGAGTCGTGAGTAGTGAGTAGTGAGTAGTGGGCAGCGACGTTCGACTACTGACTAGTGAGTAGGGAGTAGAGAGTAGTCAGTAAGTAGTGAGTAGCGAGTAGTGCGTAGTGGGTAGTGAATATGTCGCACTGGGTAGCGAGTAGCGGATACTGAGTAGTGAGATGTGGGAAGTGCGTAGTGAGAAGTGAATTTTGAATTCTCTGTAGTACGTAGTGGATAGTGGCTACTGGGTAGTGAGTAGTGCTTAGTGAGTAGTGAGTAGTGAGTAGCGATCAGGGGGTAGTGTTTAGTGAGTAGTGAGTATTGAGTACTGGGTATTGAGTTGGGAGTAGCGAGTAGGAAGTAGTGAGTAGTGAGTAGTGGGAGCGTAGTGAGTAGTGAGTATAGGGTAGTGAATCGTGCGTACTGGGTAGCGAGTAGGGAGTAGCGAGGAGTGAGCAGTGAGTAATGAGTACTGTGTAGGGAGTAGCGAGTAGCGAGTAGTGGATAGTGAGTAGTTAGCTGAGCGCAGTGAGTATTGAGTAGTGCAGTGTGAGTAGTGAGTAGTGGATTGTGGTTAGTGGGTAGTGAGTAGTGATTTGTGATTAGTGAGTAGTGGGTAGCGAGTTGTGTTTAGCGGGTATCGAGAATTGAGTAGTGGGTAGTGAGTAGTGAGCAGTTTGTAGTGACTGGTGAGTAGGGAATAGTGAGTAGAGGATAGTGAATACTGAGTTGTGGGCAGTGGGTATTGTGTAGTGAAGTGTGAGTAGTGAGTAGTGGTTCGTGGGTAGTGAGTAGTAAGTTGTGATCAGTGAGTAGTGAGTAGTGGGTAGTGAGTTATGGTTAGTGATTATTGAGTATTGAGTAGTGGATAGTGAGTAGTGGGTAGTTTGTAGTGAGTAAGGAGTAGGGAGTAGTGAGTATTGGGTCGTGGGTAGTGACTCATGGGTAGTGAGTAGTGGGTCGTGAGTAGTGAGTAGTGAGTAGTGAGTCGCGGGTTGTGAATTGTGGGTAGTGAGTAGTGCGTAATGAGTAGTGAGTGCTGTTTAGGGCTAGGGCTTGGGTTTGGGATTACGGTTAGGGGTTAGGGTATGGGTGAGGATTAGTGTTAGGGGTGGTTGGGGTCGGGTTCCCGAGACCGGGGGCGCCGTGGCGAAAGGGGGGGAGAGGGGGGTCGAATTTGGCGGCCAAAGGGGGGAGGGGGGGGGGTCGGATCCCCCCTCTTTTGAAAGGAGGGGAGGGTGGGGGGGGTCCCCAACGACGGGACGGGAAAGGGGGCGGAGGGTCCCCGACGACGGATCGGGAAAGGGGGGGACGGGGGGGGGATTTCCCCGACGACGGATCGGGGAAAGGGGGTCCCCCCCCCTCTTGGGGCCATCCAGCGGCGCGCCCTCGTACACAAGCGCTGTGGGGCAAGTCGCCACCTGCATGCTGCTCGCGTCGTTGTCGTTGTCGTCGCTCGTCGCTCGTCGCTCATGGTCGTCGCGCGCGGGCGCGGCTGTGGTGCCGGAGCCGCACGGCGTCATGACGCCCGTCATCGCCGAACATAACGAAACATTCTGAGTGGCGCGCCACACACGGATGGCATACGCCTCCGCCGGGTCCAACCGGGCTGCGCCCGACTTGCGCTCGCCGTTCGCTGTAGTCGGATGCCCCACCGGGCCTGCGAACCGCAGTCCTTGACCCCGGCCATGGCAGAAAACGGACCCCTGTTGGCCGCCATTTCTTCGCGCAGCCAGGGGGGCGGTGGGCGGGTGCACGGCCGAAGAGGAGGAGGAGGAGGAGGAGGAGGAGGAGGAGGAGGAGGAGGAGGAGGAGGAGGAGGAGGAGGAGGAGGAGGAGGAGGAGGAAGAGGAGGAGGAGGCGGAGGAGGAGGAGGAGGGGGAGGAGGGGGAGGAGGGGGAGGGGGAGGAGGGGGAGGAGGAGGAGGAGGAGGAGGAGGAGGAGGAGGAGGAGGAGGAGGAGGAGGAGGAGGAGGAGGGGAGGAAGGGAAGGAGGAGGAGGAGGAGGAGGAGGAGGAGGAGGAGGAGGAGGAGGAGGGGAGGGAGGAGGAGGAGGGAGGAGGAGGAGGAGGAGGAGGGGAGGACGACGACGAGGACGAGACGAGGGCGGAGGAGGAGGAGGCGGAGGAGGAGGAGGAGGCGGAGGGGTAGGAGGAGGAGGAGGAGGAGGAGGAGGAGGAGGAGGAGGAGGAGGAGGAGGAGGAGGAGGAGGAGGAGGAGGAGGAGGAGGCCGCCGAAGCACGGCGCTGGGCTCGGCTCGCCCCTGCAGCGCGGCCAGCCCTTGCCACGCACGGGAGCACGCGCACGGGCCGGGAGGAGAGGCCTGGGACAGCAGCAGCAGCAGCATTCAAGTCGTGCGTGCCCCTCCACGGGAGGGATCTTCAAACATAGTCCAGAAATGCAGTCAAGACGCTGAAATAAGGAGCAGTTTGGGTTCGGAAGGGGCTCGATGTTCCTTAGGTTCCTCCAGTGTTGTTCCTCTTGCCCTCCTGGGTCACGGAGGCGCTTACAGGGTCAAGAAGGGGCTTCGTTCCTTATTTAGCGTTCCTTCTTTCAGCAGCCCGACTGTAGTCTGGGGACGATTTCGTCGTCGTCGTCGTCGTCGTGTTGGCAGCCGCCAGGGGCTGGCCGGCGTTCGCCCGCGTGAGAAGGGAGGAGAGGTGAGGCGAGGCGAGGCGAGGGGAGGGGCGAAATGCGACGTACGTGGTAGGTGGAGAGGGCTCAGGGGCAACGGCAGGGGAAGGTCGGCTCAGGGGTGGCGCATCGATGCCCGATCGGCCAGTGACCGCCGATAGTGGCTCGATAGCCCACGCCGTCCAGGAACGTGGGGATTCGCTACCGGGGCCTCTCGCCACTATCGGCCATGCACCGCCGATTCAAGCTCGATGCTCCCCATGTCCCCCCCCCTCGTGGAGCCGGTCCCGCCCCTGCCGCTGCCCCACGGGAGAGGCCGTGGAGGGAATGGGGGGCCGGCACGCGCTCGGGGGGAGAGCGCATGCCCACGACCCCTGTGCCTTCTCCCTCGGCGGCGGCGCGGCGGTGGCCGCCGCGCTGCCGGCCCCAGGCCGGCCGGGGCCCGGATGCGCCGCGGCGCGGCGCCTCGGCACGCGCGTCGGCCGAGCTTTGCCGCAGATCGCCGCCCCGAGGGGCACGGGCTGTTCGCGGGAGCGGCCTGCCCCTTGCCGTGCCGCCCCTCTCGGCCAGGGCACGGGGACCGGCGTCTCCCCAACATGCTGTACGTAGTACTAGGTGTGCGTCGCTCCCCCCGCCAGAGGCGACGCGCGCACCGAGAAATCTCCGCGTTCATGCGACGTGGCGGGCGCTTTCTGGCCAGACCGCTCGGGAGACGATGTAGTGCAGGATGGTCATACTATCTGTTCGGGTCGGACGCACGCCTCCAAGGAGGCCATAAAGTACCAGTATGTGCTTGGACTGCGCAACCCTCCCCCGCCCCCAGCCAGGACCCCGACTCCAGACCCGGCTTTTTGTGGAAGGAGGGTCTTGGATGGGGATGGGAGTGTTTTTTGTGTTCAAAGCCACCTTCACCCACAGCCTGGACCCCGTGGATCACCGGGTCGGGAGTGGAGGTCCTAGCCGGGGGCCCCGGTGGGCGTGGGCTGTGCTGCCTTCAGAATATAGAGTGCTGTGTCTCTGGCTGCTCCTCCCTCCCTCCCTTTGTGTGGCCTTTCACGTGGGCCTCAGAGGGTCCCACAATTCTTTGCGGTGTGAGGGGTTTGTTCGTTTTCGTCGGATTTTGTTGACATTTGAACGACATTTGGACGAGATTTTGACGAAGTCTGGACGACATGGTGTAGAGGGTGGGCAGAAATTTGGACGGAATCCAGTCTGAACCGCGTTCATGAGTTTTTGAAGGAGTTTGGCCTCTTGGGGGGGGGGTTCTTGGAGGACTCGGAGGTCACTTCAAACTGTCTTGGTGCAGTCTTGAGGCCTCTTGGATGTGTGTCGGAGGCTATCTTGAGCCATCTGGAGGCATCTTGAACCATCTTGGAGGCCATCTTGGTCTCCCTGAGGCCCTCTTGGAGCAATCTGGGGCCATCTTGGGCGCCTTCAGACAGGCCAACAAAGGCCCCAAAGGGCTCCAAAGGAAGGCCTGGAGAGGCTCCAGAGACTGCAACAATGCTTCCAAAAAGGCTCGCGGCACGCGCTCCAGTAGGCACCCGTGTATTGGGTGCGTTGGGAGAAGACAGGAGGAGGATGAGGAGGACAAGGAGCAGGAGGAGCAGGAGGAGCAGGAGGAGCATGATGATGATGATGATGATGATGATGATGATGATGATGATGATGATGATGATCATGCTGCTGATGATGATGCTGATGATGATGATGATGATGAGGAGTAGGAGGAGGATGGTTGTGATGGTGAAGGTGACCATGACCATGACGAGGACGATGAAGATAACGGCGATGAGGATGACAATGATGACGGTGATCATGACCCTAGCTAGAACCTGAGCGCGCGCGAAGCGAGCGCGATGGTTCTAGTATACATGTATTGTTATATATATATATATATATATATATATATATAACCATGTAGCCCCATCGCCTTCTAGCCGCATAGCCCTATAGCCCCATAGCCTTCTAGCCATGTAGCCTTATAGCCAGCCCCATAGCTCGATAACACTAAGAATCGGAGGTGAGGGGGTGAGATTGAAGTGGAACGGAGAGCCCCCCTACCAGGAAATCGATTTCGGTTTCGTGTTCATGCGTGCCGTGCGCGCGGGCGAGGCGAAGCTGCGTGGGCGGGCGAGAGGAAAGTCTCCTGTGGCTGAGGCGCGGCCGGACCAAATGTGTCTCTTCCGGGCGGCCGGTGGCGCGCGGTGTCCCGCCGGTGTCCCGCTGGTGTGCCGTCGGTGTCCCTGTGGCTGAGTCGCGGCCGGACCAAATGTGTCTCTTCCGGGCGGCCGGTGGCGCGCGGTGTCCCGCCGGTGTCCCGCTGGTGTCCCGTCGGTGTCCATGGCTGAGGCGCGGCCGGACCAAATGTGTCTCTTCCGGGCGGCCGGTGGCGCGCGGTGTCCCGCCGGTGTCCCGATGGTGTCCCGTCGGTGTCCCGTCGGTGTCCCGATGATGATGTGGATGATTATGATGATGATGATGATGATGATGATGATGATGATGATGATGATGGTGGTGATGATGGTGATGATGGCGATGATGATGATGATGATGATGATGATGATGATGATGATGATGATGATGATGATGATGATGTTGGTGTTGTTGTTGATGATGATGACGTCGATTGTGAGATCGATTGTGACATCGATAGTGAGACCGAATGTGAGATCGATTGTGAGATCGATAGTGAGATCGGATCGATTGTGAGATCGATAGTCAGATCGATTGTGAGATGATGATGGTAATGATGATTCTGATGATGATGGTGCCGAGTGAAAATTGCCGAGTGAAAATCGATAATGAGAATGAGATCGATTGTGAGAATGTGAGATCGATTGTGAGATCGATAGTGAGATCGATAGTGGGACCGAATGTGAGACCGAATGTGAGATCGACTGTGAGTTCGATTGTGAGATCGACAGTGAGACCGAATGTGAGACCGAATGTGAGACCGAATGTGAGATCGATTGTGAGATCGATTGTGAGATCGATAGTGAGATCCATAGCGAGATCGATAGCGATATCGATAGTGAGATCGAATGTGAGATCGATTTTGAGATCGATAGCGAGATCGATTGAGTCAGACGTTGGTTCCCCCTCCCCCCTCACCTCCTTATCACCCGCAGGGTGGTCGTATAGGTATTATGATTTGCGCGGCGAGCAATACGACTGCACCCCCGCCCGTCTGATCAAAATCCACTGCAAAGTGGTCGCGGGGCGCCCGCGCACGATCCCGAGGTGGAGGCAAAGTGGATTCCGTATTGTTTTTTGGGCAGGTATGGTTGGCTTTTTTTGTTTTCCCCTTTTTTTTCTTTTCTTTTTATTGTTTTTTTTTTTTTTCTTTTTTTTTTTTTTTTCTTTTGTTTTTTCGTTTTTTTTTTGTTTTTTGTTTTTTTTTTTTGATTTTGTTTTTTATTTTGTTTTTTTTTTTTTCTTTTTTTTTTTTTTTTTTCTTTAGTTTTTTTTTCTTTTTTTTTTTTTTTTTCTTTTTTTTTTTTCCTTTTTTTTTTTTTTTTCTTTTTTTGTGTTTTTTTTTTTTTTTTTTTTGTGGTTTTTTTTTTTTTTTTTTGCGCGCGGAGGGCGAGCAGTATGACGGCTCCACCGCCGTACCTGTCAAAACCAGTGCAACATGGTCACGGGGCGCCCGCGCATGCTCCAGATGTGCAGGCAAAGTGTATACTGTATGGTTTTTGACAAGGCTGGTTGGTCTGCTCGCAGCGAACAATATGACGCCCCCGCCGCCCTCTTTGTCAAAAACCAATGCAAAATGGTCGCTGGGCGCCCGCGCATGCTCCAGATTTGGAGGCATAATGAATTCTATAGTGTTTTTGTTGACACGGGTGGCGGGGGGGCGGGGGGGTATGTCTCGGGTTGGCCCACAGTCGGGTGGGGCAGGGGGTGTGGATGAATACGGAGCAGTGATCGGCCCCTCCCCCAAGCAGAGGAAGAAGGGGTCGTGGCACGGAGAGAAGACAAAGTCCGTCAAACCACCTACGCCCAGAGGGTGGAGGGATGTTCGGTGCGTCACCCGCCCCCTCCCAGTGGCGCCGCGCGTTCCGCACGCCAGGGATGGGGGCCCAGCGCCAGTCCAGGAGATCCGCGCGGAGCTTCGGAAGTTGATGTCTACACCTGAGGCGATGCTTAAGAAAACCTAGGTGTTCGGCCAGAGTCTCGATGATTCTTAATGTTTCAATGTAGATCCTAAGATTTGAATGGCCATTCTGGGTTTTATCTAAGTTCTGAGACTATAAATTTCTTAACCCATGATTTCTAAAGCATTTCGCAGGGTGCACGCATGTTGTTGCTCCTCTCGGTCCTCCCTTGTCATCTCTTGCGCGCTGGCCTGACCCTGCACAGCGTGCTTGGTGTGCTCTCTCTCCGCCACCTCTCCTCCGCCGACCCCTTCCCTGGAGAATCATCGCCGCACCGTCCCTGATTCGAGCACGGCGGACGAGCACACTCGGGGGTGCGACAAGGGATCAGTTTTCTGTTTAAAAGAAGAAGAATAAGAAGAATAACAAGAAGCAGCAGAAGAAAAAGAAGAAGAAGAAGGAATGGAGGAGGAGGAGGCCGACGAGGAGGAGGAGGAGGAGGAGGAGGAGGGGCACTCGTCCCTCGTCACAGGCGCGGGCCCGCGCGCTCCACCTCGGGAGGCGTGCCGCCGCGCGCCCCAGCTCGCCCCCGCCCCCCTCCTGGCAGGACGCCGCCTGGCGTCGCGGCCGGCGGCCCGCCCGGGGCGCCGCCGCGGAGGGCCGCGAGGCCCGCCGCGGCCGCGGCGGGTGGGCCGTCGCAGCCGCTCGGCTCCTCGGCGCGTGCGCCGCGGCTCGGCACGAGCGCCTCGGCGCCGCGGCTCGGCGCGGGCGCCTCGGCGCGGGCGCCTCGGCACGCGCGCCCCTCTCGAAGAAGAGAGAGAGGACAGGCGGGAGGGGCAAGAACCCCCCAGACACAATTGGTCGTCGACTCCCAGGAAAAAAATATGGGGAAACATGGGGAGTGGGGGGGGAGACAAACACCCAGAAGAGATCGGAGAATCTGGGGAATCCTGTTGTCTGTGAGTATTTGTTTGTGTGTCCCAGGGCCCCTTCAAACATCTGCGCAAACCTAAACTGTCGGAGGTCCGCGCGGAGTTTTTGCACCTGCGCTGGGCCCCCCTGGCGGCGCCTCGGGCGCCGCCCCTGACGCGCTCCGCGCGCCAGGGAGGGAGGTCCGGCGCGGCTCCAAATAATCCGCGCGGTCCGGCGAGAGTGTATGTTTATGCCGTTTTTGCTCCTCGCTCTCTGCTCCTCGGCATTTGCGCCTCGGCACGTGCGCGTCGCCTGCGCATCTCGATCCCTGCCCGCCAGGGCTGTACGCAGAGTTCTCCGACGCTTCTTGGCGTTCTGGCTTTTTTCCTTGGTTTCGGCCTCGGGGGTCCGTTCTTCTTGGGCCCTGTGGGCTCTGCTCCTGGTCAGGTGGGCCTCGGCTGCGCTTCCGACGACATCCTCGGCCTCCCAGATGGGGGCCTGGCGGATTGGGTCAGAGGGTCGCGCGGCATCGCCGATGCATCGCCCACGCGGCCCGATTTGGAGCCCGATGTTCTCCACGCCGACGGCGCCGATGCATCGCCGACTTCGCCGATGCATGCCTCGCCGATGCATCCCATCCAATTGCTGGGACCCTATGTGGAAAACCTCTATTTGCTCCCAGGCCGTGGGCCTCAGCTGCGCATCTCGACCCGCCCCCCTGCCAGAACTGCAGATTCCAGAGACTCCGGCGAAGAGTCCCGCAAGGGGGGACGGGGAGCTCGAGGCCGCCCCCGCCAAACCAGCCAGTCCGGCGGCGGTTTCGCTTTTGTCGGGGATGGACAGACCTCCCTTTAGTAAAACGTGGTTTAGTGAAAACGACCTGAGGCCCAAACCTGGCGGGCGCGAGCCTGGAAAATAACGGCCGCGGCGCCCTCTCGAGAACCGAAAAATGACAATTCACTAATCGACGTGTCTCTGTTGGGGGTTCTGTCCACCCCCGATTTTGACTTCCCAACAGTTTGTCTCTGGAGCCCCGTTCTCGTCGCAGTGTCGGCGAATTGCATGTTTGGTCTGGACGGCCACGATCCTCTTCGGCAAGCCTCTGCACCTCTGCCGCTGCTGGGGTGCTGCTGCTGGGGTAAGTGGAATCCTGTGCATTCTGTTAGTCGCGTTCGACCTCGGAGACCTGTTCTTGGGCCCCAGGACCCTCAATATTGGATCGTCGAGACACCGCACCTTGTGAAAGCCCCCACAGTTCTACTCAGCCCCCCAAGCGCCTCACGTCGCGAACAAGTCCACGACGCGAAGCTTTCTGCCTAGTGGTCCTCGCCGGGACTCAGGACCGTCAGAAAACGCTTCGGGACGAGAAACAGGTCCCTGGGGAATGGGTCTAGACTCGGCGTCACCCGAACATATAGATATTTTGTCGCTTCGCTCACTCCGCCTTCCCATATTGTCTCGCTGCTGTCGTGTGCCTGGGTGTCGCTGTCAATACGGTGCGTCTGGGTGGCGACTGCTTTTCGGAGACGGTGCGTGGGGAGCGGTTGGAAGTGAATCGATTGCTGTGGAATTGCTCTCTGGGGGGTCAGTCGCAGATTGATGCGGTGTTGTGTTGGCGCGTGACCGCCGGTGGCCCCGAAGCGTCCCACGTCGAACCATCTCCGACGTTTCAGTAACTGCCGATCGCTTACGCTTGAAAAGTCCCTGCGGCGTCAGGAACCAATGCCAGGGTCGTCACGACGCGAACCCGCCGTAGTGGGACGAACGGGCATCACTGCATTGCATGACGAATTCTAGTTCTTCCTTTTTTCTCCCCTTCCACCTCCTTCTGCCTCTGCCCCAGGATGAGGATGACGGCGAAGACAACGAGGGCCACTTGTCCTATATGATGGCGTGCTCATGGTGAGAGGGGGAAGGAGGAGGAGCAGGCGGAAGCGGATGAGGAAGACGAGGACGAGGAGGAGGCCTTTCGATGGCCGACTGGGGGCATCTTGGCGGCCTCTTTCGACCTCTCGGGGGCCTCTTGGGGGGTCTTGTGAGAGCGCGTTGGGTCTTCTTATTGTGGTGTCGGGGCGGACGGTTCGAAATGTCAGTTCGGGTTTCTCGTTTGGCACCCCCCTGGGTTCCCTTCCGGGGCCGCCCTGCGGCCATTCTGGAAGCCTCTCTGGCCTTTTCGGAGCCCCGTTGGGCCGTGTTGGGGCTTTTTGGGCGGCCTCTTGCGCCATGTTGGGGCGCTTTGGGGGGCGCAGTGGGCAAGCCTTACTACTGGGGCCGTCCTGGGTCCTCTTGGAGGCCTCTTCGGGGCCCTCTTGGAGGCCTCCTGGGCCGTCGCGGGGAGATCTTGGGAGCGTTTTCGGCCGTCTTGGAGCGCCGGAAAAGCGGAAAAGGAAAAACGCCAAGACCGTTGCGCAACCGAACAGGAGTCAATATGTTTTGCTTTTCGTGGCCACTTGGGACGCCTCTTGGGGGCTACCTTGGGCGTCATGTAAGCGTTTGCGGCCGTCTGGAAATCATCTTGGGCGTCCTGGACCGATCGGTCGGCGACCCGAGGCCCTCTTGGACCATCATGTTAGGGGCCTCTTCAGGCCTTTTTTGGAGCGCTCTGGGAGGCTGAACGGCCGCGCGCAAGAGAAACATCATCGTTTACCAGAGTGTCCGGGGAGTCTGGCGGGGTACTTTTCGCCCAAGAGTCCCAAGGGCCGCCCCGCGCGCGAATTTATCTTGTTCACCAGTCGCCGGGGATCTTCGCGCGTCTCTGGCCCTTTGGGCTTGCGAATTGCGTGTGCGTCGCCCCCACGCGGGCGACGCGCTCGCCAAAACATGTTATAGTATATGATCGGTGGCGGGCTTTTTTTTACCATACCTCTGGTGGAACGATCTACGATGCTACTACTGCACAGTCTGATCCTGTCGAACGCACGCCTCGGGTCGATGTTTGGAACAGATCGCGACGTCGAGGTTTTCGGTTTCGAGGAACCGGTCTCACTACACGCTCCCCCTTTACAAGTCGTGGGGCCTCGTGGGAGGACTTCGTCGCCAGGGCTGGGTTTTCGGTCGCAGATCATGGGGGTATTGTATACCGCCGCACATGTCCTCCTCGCGTGCACCAGCGTCTGTTAGAGTCTTGTGGTCGATGAGATAGCGCCGATTACCGGCTGGGTCTCGATGAGATAGCGCCGATCTGGCGCAGACCAGCGTCGAGCGGCGCATGCATTGCCGCAGAAACCCATTGCTTCTGCTTCGTTCAATGCGCGCGCTATGGTTCCCCCCCTCTCGACGGTGCTCGTTCCTTCGTGTCGCGGCGTCTTCCTACTGTTTGCCCTCGGGGCGTCGCTGTCGGCGCAGTTGGCGAATTTCGGAGTGCTTCAGGAATTGCATTAGAGTCAGGCCTTGGCGCGTTGCCTGTGCTCCCGACCCATGCGTGGGATCCCTTGTGCTGCGTCGCCAAAGGTTTTTCGGAGGGGCGCCATCTAGCTGCAGCACTTGGATTCGCGTCGACACTCTGGTCCGAGCACTCACACATACACACTGGGCCTCCCTCCAAGAGTTGCATTTGGCCCGCAGGTTGGGAGCCACGGTGTGCCCCCCCTCGGAGAGTCGGCTCAGAGGTGTGGGTTATCTGCAAGCCGCGGGGCTGGCACCGAGAGGGGGAAAGAAAGAGGGGGAGGAGGAGCAGGAGGAGGAGGAGGGAGACGAGGCGGCAGAAGCAGGAGAGGAATGACACTGATGATGGTGATGATGGTGATGAGGATGAGGATGAGGATGAGGATGAGGATGAGGATGATGATGATGATGAGGATGATGAGGATGATGATGATGATGATTACGACGTTGATGGTGGTGATTGTGATTATGGGGAGGAGGAGGAGGAGGAGGAGGAGGAGGAGGAGGAGGAGGAGGAGGGAGGAGGACGATGGACGACCATCCCGATGCTGGTGATGATGATGGGATGATGGTTCTGATGATGATGATGTGATGGAGATATATGGTGGTGTTTGTAACGGGTGATGGTAATGGTGAGATGATGATGACTACGATGCCGATATGTGGATGCTACTGTTGATGATTCGTGTTGACGCGACTGAGGATGGACGATGGACGATGATGATGTTGATTAGGATGCTTGTTTATTTATTTCTGTTTTTTTTTTTTTTTTTTATTGTTTTTTTTTTTTTTTTTTTTTCTTTTGTTTTTTTTTCTTTTTTCTTCCTTTGTTTTTTTCTTATTTTTTTTTTTTTTTTTTCTTTCTTTTTTCTTGTTTTTTTTGGTTTTTTTTTTTTTTTTTTTTTTATTTGTTTTTTTTTTTTTTTTTTTTTTCTTTTTTTTATTTTTTTGTTATTTATTTTTTATTTTTTTTTTTTTCTTATCTTTTTTTTTTTTTTTTTTGAATTTTTTATTGTTTTTTTATGTTTCTTTTTTTTTTTTTTTTTATTTTTTTTTTATTTTTTTTATTTTTTTTTTTACTTATTTGTCTTTTTTGTTTTTTTTTTTTTTCTTTTTTTTTTTTTTGTTTTATTCTTTTTTTTCTATTTTTTGTTTTTTTCTTTTTTTTTTTTTTTTTTTTTATTTTTTTATGTTGATGATGGCAACAATGATGATGCTGACGTTGATGGTGACGATGATGAGTATGATGATGGTTGTGACTGCGATTAGGGTGACGATGTCGATGATGACGGTGGTGATGTTGATGATGATGACGACCATCATGATGATAGTGGTAATGATGATGACGACCATGATGATGATGACGATGATGTTGATGATGGTGCTGGTGATGGTGATGTTGTTGATGATGATGCTGTCGATGAGGATGGCGGTGAGGATGAGGATGAAGTTGCGGATGAGGATGAGGATGATGATGAGGATGAGGAAGAGAATGAGCATGCGGATGCGGAATGGGATGATCATGATGATGATGATGATGGTGATGGTGATGATGATTGTGGTGTAACAGTGATGATGATGGTGATGATGATGTTGATGATGATGACGAGTTTGATGATGATGATGACTATGAAAGGAGATTTATTCTCATAATGAGGAATAGGATGATGATGCTACCGAAGATAATGATGTGATAAAGATGCTGATGCGGATGGTAAGACTGATGATGATGTTGATGATGGTGATGATGATGGTGGTGATGGTGATGATGCTGCTTCTGGTAATGATGATGAGGCTGATGCTGATGCTGGTGCTGCAGATGATGACATCGATGATGATGATGATGATGGTGATGATGGTGATGGTGATGGTGATGTTGATGGTGACGGTGATGGTGATGGTGATGATGATGATGATGATGACGATGATGATGATGATGATGCTGATGCTGATGCTGATTATGATGATTATGATGATGATGATGATGATGATGATGATGATGATGAGGATGATGATGATGATGATTATGATGATGATGATGATGATGATGCTGAACTTGAGGATTAGGATGTGAATGCGGATGCTGATGCCAATGCGGATGCTGATGTTGCTAATGTTGATGATGATGAGGAGGAGGAGGATCATGAGGAGAAGGAGGGGTAGGAGGAGGAGGAGATGGAGGAGGACGAGGAGGAGGAAGAGGAGGATCCTGTGGAGGAAGAGTCCTTTGAAGCCCTCTCGGCGCTTCTGTGGGGCGGGCATCTCGGGTTTCTTCGCGGCCTCTTCTGGCGTCTTGGGGCCCTCTTTAACCGTCTGTGGCCGATCTTGACCCGCTTGGCGCTTTTGCAGACAGTCTTGGGGACTTCTGGGAGCCTTCTCCAGGCCTTCTTGGGGCCTTGATATGGCCGTCTTGGTGCCTTCTTGCGGGCCTCTTGTGCCATCTTTAGGTTGGGCTGTCTTTCTGCCCTCTGGGGGCCTCTTGGGCCGTCGTGGAGTGCAATTGACGAGGCCTCTCGGACCGTCTTGGGTGTCAGAAGCCTGGAATAGCGAGAACGCTAAAGGTGATCATAACCCGATGGAGGTCATTCAATCTTGCTTCGGGGCGAGCTGGAAAGCCTCTGGGTTCCCTCTTGGGCCGTCTTGGGGGCCTGAGGCGGGTTTGGGACCACGTGAGCCCGATTCGGGGCCATCCTACGCCGTAAGCCGTGTAGCACATTCTCGAGGCCATCGTACCCCGCCTTCCAGCCGTCGCGGAGTCAGCTTGGGCCATCTGGGAGGCATAAGCCCGAGGAGGCTCCAGAGGCCCCGGAATCTGGGCCTCTGCTCCAGGAACCCAGGCCCCCCAGTCCCCGCGAGTTGGGCCGACGAGGCGGGGCTGACACCAGGATAAAGTGCGTTTCAGCGCGCTTCGGAGCGCCCGCAGAGCGTTTCAGAACGGCCGCGGCGCCCGATGCATCCTCGAGAACCGCTGGATCTCTGGGAGTACCGCTCCATCCCGGTCCGAGTATTGTCATGGCCTAGGGTCTTCGTGGGTGGGAGTGCGCGAGGCGGGGAGGTGCCCCGTCCTGGCATCCGGCCCCTGCCGTTCCCTTGCCCCTGCCCGTCCCCGCCCCGCCCTGCAGACTTCTGACACGACCGGGGCGCCCTGGCGCTCGCTCCTCTCGCACACCTGTGGGCCCGCCGTGCCCCCACGCCTGGCGCTGCGCGCGTGCCCACCGGGTCCCGCCAGAGGCCATGCCCAGGCGAGCTGCCGAGGCGGGGATGCACACAGAGCCACCGCCCGGAGGATCGATTTTCGGAGACCTCGACCGGCGGCGGACGTGCATCTATTCGGGCACCTGGGGCCCAAAAGGTATCCATCTCCACCGCCCGCTGGGGTCCCAGGACTCGGTTCTACAGGCGGTGGATATGGACAGATCCCCGCCTCGCAGAGATGCTTAATCAGAAAAGTGCAGGAGCAAGCAGTGGAACAGAGAGGGAGTGCGACCGGCAAACCGAAGTTCGGGATGAGCCAGGGCATACCCAGGAGTCAACCAGACGCCTTCGCGGATCGTTCGGTGTGGGAGCCTTTTGGAAGTTCATCCGGGACATGTTGGGGCTCTCTCGGGGACATTTAGGAGGCCTTTGGTACTTTCATTGGGCCCTGTTGGTGCTCTCTTGGAGCCCTCTTGAGGTCCTTGGGAGCCCACTTTGGGCCACGTGGAGGACATCGATCGATATCGACCGAGCAGGTGAGGCAGCCATCACGACAAAGTTTGTGATCAGCTCGAGCATATCAAGGATTGTAGCTGCTGAGCCTGCCGTCGAAGGATGGAGAGAAGGTGGAGGGGACAGTGGACAGAATGGGGGCTGGGAAGGGAGGAGGAGGAGGAGGAAGGAGGAGGAGGAGCAGGAAGTGGAGCAGGAGGAGGAGGAGGAAGAGGAGGAGGAGAGAGGAGAGAGGAGAGAGGAGAGAGGAGAGAAGAGAGAGGAGAGAGAAGAGAGGAGAGAAGCGAGAGAAGCGAGAGACGAGAGGAGAGAGGAGGCGGAGAGAGAGGTGGGAGCAGTTGGACGGGGGAGGCCATGGAGACGCCGGCGACGATGAGGACGACGACGCAACGGACCTGCTCAGGTAGCCTCAAGAGGGCCATCGCGGCTTTCGTACGATTCGGGGGCCACCGCACACACTGCCCTCTTGGGGACCCTTCGCGAGCTCTCTTTGGACCATCGTGGAGGGAATCGTTCAGAACAGGTTGCCGCGCGGATTGCCGCCGTCCCCCTCGAGCACAAAACATGACATCTCTGAGCCTTAGTGGGCATTTCTTGGAGCGACCTTGTGGCCATCTTAAGGTCTCAGGGTGCCAGCGGAAGCGACACGGAGACGGCGAGACGCCAGGCAACGTTCAAATTCAGAGAGTGTTTGAACGAGTTTAGCCTTTGGAGGCCTTCTCGGGAAGCTTCGTGGCAATTTTGTGGTCGTCTTGGGGTGGTGCTGTGGCTTCTGGGAAGAATGTTCGAAGTCATCTTGAATCAATTTGGCATATGCTGCGACATCTGGGAGACACTACTGCACTCTTCGAGGCCATCTTAGAGCTATCGTTGGCCATCTTGGACGCTCTAACGTCTCGCCTGGCCCCCCTTCAAGACCCAGGGGAGGAAGGAGGGAGAGGGGCACACCCCTCCACGAGATGCAGGCGAGGGGTAGGATGACGGTGGGCCATGATGACAGGGGCGGGCATGTGGATGGTCGTCGGCAAGGGCCGCAACAGGATTTGGGTGGGGAGCAGGAGGAGCAGGAGGAGGGATGAGGCGATCGCGCTTGGCGGGGAGTACGACTACAGTGGGGACCCATGCTAAGAAACATCCTGCTTGCCTTGAGGGTGCCCTGGGCTTCTTGGGTTGTGATGGTTTTGCGATGGAGAGCGTGACGTTTCCTCACCAACAATCAAGGGGCGTCTTCGGGTCTCCGGGTTGGAGTTCTTCTCCAACCGTAGGCGGTCCCAGCTGTTGCAGAATTCAAGAAGCTGCTGCCCGGGGTCCCGCGCACAGCGAGCACGACGTCTCGGCCGTGCCCTCCGCGTCGTACCCCGCCCCCCTCCGCTCCGCACCTCGCCCCGAAAGGCTCTCCCGAGCACTGCCCGCGACGCCCCGCTCGCGCCCCGCCGCTGCTGCTCCTGACGACCCTGCTGCGGCTCCCACGGGGCGGGCAGGGGCCGCCCTGGCGCCGAAGCCTGCCCCGCGTCCACGGCCTCGCGGGTCGGGGCCCCCGGGGCCGCGGCGTCGTGGGCACGGGCCGCTCTCTCGCTCGCGCGCGGACCCCGCGCGCCTCGCGCGCCCGCGCCGCCGCGCAGCCGCGCGGCCGCGCGCCAGGGCCCGGGCCCGCGAGGGCGCGGGCGTGGGCGCGGTCGCCGCTCGCGAAGCCTCTGGGGGAGGGAGCACCGCCCGGACCCGAGGGGCGTGTGCACTCCGCCGGCCCTGGGCGTCTGCGAGCCAGCCCCTGCCCCGTTCGATGCCGGCTGTGGGCGTGTTCACGGAACGACTTCGCGTGTAAGGAATGGAGAAGGAGAAGGAGACATGGATGAGAAATGATAGAGAAGGAGCAGGAGAGTTACGGGGTGGTTGTCCTGGGGGTGGACTTTTTGGCCCCTGTGAAGGGCGGCACGGGGAGCGGGAGCTGGGGGGGGGAGGGGGGGCTGCGGCCCCCGCGGGCCGCCGGCCCGCGCCACCTTCCCTCCCTCGGCGAGGGTGGTGCCTCGGCGGCGGGCGTGGACCTTGGCGTCTCGCAGGCGCGCGCGGGAGGGGGGGCGCGCGCGCGCGGGAGGGCGGGGCGCGCGAGGTCCCGGCGAGAGGGGGGCGAGCTCGCCGCGGAGGGCAGCGGGGGCCTCGGGCGGGTGCGAAGGGGGTGTGAGACCCAAAGGATGGGGGGCGAAGAAAATCAGGAAGGGTAAAACACACACAGACACAATTAATCGTCGATTCTCAGGTAAATATGGGAAATATGGGAAGTGGGGGGGAAGACAAAAACCTAGAAAATATAGGAAAATATGGGGGAATCTGGTTATTTGTATGTCTTTCTGAGTGTGTCCCTGGGCTTCTTTAGAAAAGGGCCCTGGAGGGCCCCGCTTGGAGCCGGCCGGTGCCCAAAAGGGAGCCCTGCAGGGCCTCTTTGGGGCCCGTTGCTTCACCCCCCATTTTTGGGGGCGGCACCAGGGGGGGGGGGATGACTGGGTCGGAGGAGCGTAAGACCCGGGTTTGCCAGGACTCGGGTTCGCCATCGTTTTTTGACGACCGCGACTCGGATTTTGACGAGGAGGAGTTTTGTGGGATGTCTGCAGCGGGAGGCCTCGTCAAAATGCAGGCTCGGCCTCGTCATTTTTTTGACGACCTCGTCGGGGATTTCCGAGTCCCCCGTACCCGGGTCTTACGTCTCCCCGACTGGGGGGGGACATCATGGCGGGGGCCATATGAGATCTCCCCAGACCACAGGGCGCCGCTTCTGATCTCAACGCGTCCCCGGCCCCTCCCCCTCCCCTGGGCCGCGCACGTGCCGCCGGCCATGGTTTACGCCCCCCCCCCCCCCCTTGTGGTCACTTCCGACATCTGGGCCCCCCCCCCAATGGGCACCCGCCCGAGGGCGACGGCGCTGGAGCGAGCCTCCCCTCGACCCCCCCTCGCGCTCCTCGGCCCGCCCCTCTCGTCGCTGCTCGGCCCCACGGCGGCTCGCCCGCCTGCGCCCCGCGCAGCGCGGCCGCCCGCGCAGCCGCTTCGGGCCAACAGCCAGGGGCCACACAGCCAGAGAGAGAGAGAGACTTGATGAGAGATTGTGATTTCCTGCCTGTTTTTTTTTCCTTGCAGTCCGTGAAAGTGGATTGGCAATGAGATCTTCACCCGGATCACAGATGCTGTCTCCGTGTTGAAACTGCAACTCGGGCCGGGCCCATCGTCTTCGAGTCCGCCTCGGCTGCCGCTGCTTCTCCCGCCCTCCTCCTCTCCCCCGTGGGCGCCGTCCAGTCGGGCCCCCCAGGGGGCAAATCGCTCCCTCCAGGGCTCATTCCGACTCCTCCGAGATCGGTTTCGACTCGACTTCGATGGCTGCCCGAGGGGGAGGAGGAGGAGGAGGAGGAGGAGGAGGAGGAGGAGGAGGAGGAGGAGGAGGAGGAGGAGGAGGCGGAGGAGGAGGTGGGGGACGGGCAGGAGGAGGAGGAGGAGGAGGAGGAGGAGGAGGAGGAAGAGGAGGGGGAGGAGGAGGAGGAGGGGGAGGAGGAGGATGAGGAAGAGGAAAGCGAACAGGGGGGGTGGAGGGGCCTTCGGTGAGGGAGCCATCCGGGGCAGCGCACCGTGGGGGAATGGGCCCCGGGGCGCGGCGGCCCCTCATCGCCCCTTTGCCGCCGACGGGGGGCAGATGGCCCGCCACGCCCACGAACGGGCGGATCTGCTGATGATCGGGAGCCTGCCGCCGATGTTCAGGAGGGAAAGAAACACACAGACACAACTAATCGTCGACTCCCCAGAAAATATGGGAAAATATGGGAAGTGGGGGGGAAGACAAAAACCTCGAAAATATGGGAAAATATGAGGAAATATTTTATTTGTGTGTATTTATTTGTGTGTCCCAGAGCCCCTTCAGATGTATCGGCGAGGTGTCGCTGATTCTTGGTCGAGGTCCCCCCTCCCCCGCCCTAGCCAGAAGAGTTCATCGCCAGAAGGAGTCCACAAAGCCCGGTACAATTTCGCCGGAGGCAGAGGAAGGATGACGTGTGAGGGCTGCGGCCCACGCGCCTTGCCCCGTGCGGGTCGACCATCTTGGCCCGACACGGCGCGCCTCGCCTCTCCTCGCCTCGCCCCCCCCGAGCCAGCCCTGCCCTGTCGTTTCGGGGGTGACGCGTCGATGAGTGGTGAATTTTGTCCGTTTTCGGTTCTCGAGAGGGCGCCGCGGCCGTCATTTTCAGGGCCTGCGCCCGCCAGGTTTGGGCCCGAGGTCGTTTTTCACGGAGACACGTTTTACGAGAGGGGGCCCTGTGCATCCCCGAGCCTCGCCTCGCCTCGCCCCCCCCCCCCGAGCCAGCCCTCTCATGTCGTCGGCCTTAGGTGGGACCTGTCCCCCCTGCAGGCGAAGTTATGTTCGAAAGCGCAATAGTGCTCGAAAACATAGTCTGGGGCCGATGTTTCGACTATTTGTGAGGATTGTTGGATCATTGTTTTTGGTTATTCTTAATTTTTCCACCAAGATCCCCCTGCAGAGGCACATGCCCGACCGACGGCCAGCCTTCCCCTGTCGTTGGCCCCCAGCTCCATCCATCCCCGGGGCACCGGGGAAGAGGGGGCCGGCGGCGCGCCCGTGGGGGGGCCATGCGGAGAGGTGGCAGGACTTCTCAGAAGGTTCGGAAGGCCTCGGGCCCTCTGGGAAGCTGCCCAAGTCTTTTCTCCGAAGCCGTACAGTTACGTCGGGCACGCCCCCTCTACAGGAGGACTACTCGAGCAAACATTGGCCAACATAGTCGGGAGACGATGTTTCTACGATGTGTTTTGTCTGCACTTGCTTTTGTTATTTCTTATGTTTCGCCTGTCGGAGGGCATGCCCGACCTAACCGTACAGTGCCAACCCATGCCAAGAAACACCCTGCTTGCCTCAAGGGTGCCCTGGTTTTTTAGGGTGTCGATGGTTTTGCTAACGAAGAAGCATGGCGCCCCCACGCCAAAAATCAATGGACGTCCTGGAGTCTCAGGTTTGAGTTTCTTGTGGGAGGTTTCTTGTGGTAGAGCTCCTGCTGTAGACGGCTTCGCAGAAGGCCAGTCGGCTTCCTGAGAAGCCCCGCCGCCTTCTGAGAATGCTCGCCCCTCCTCACTTCCCCCGGGCGCGTCGCCGATGGACATCTGATGGGCCTATTTTCCACCACCACCACCACCACCACCACCACCACCACCACCACCACCACCATAAGTTGGAGGGGAATGAGGTGGAGGACGAGGAGGATGAGGAGGACGGAGAGGAGGAGCAGTAGGAGGAGGAGGACCTCCTCCCCCGTCCAACTTCTGGTGGTGGTGGTGGTCAACAGGCCCATCAACAGGGCTCTGGGCGAGGATGGTCGTGGGCCTGCTGCCCCCATGCCAGACAGGGGCCCATGGACACAAATGAGCAGACGCAAATCTTTGGGTGCCCAGCATTTCCAACACTTTCCGCATGCTCGTCTTCCCCTCCACTTCCATGTGGATCCATATACAGTCGGGGCGCTGACCTGAGGAACCCTAAATAAGGAACGAGGCTCCTTTTCCCAAAAGTTAAACTCTCCCCAACGAAAAGGGTTCCTTCTTCAGCGCCCCGACTGTACGTGTAATTGGAGTCGGCGACTGCCTGTGCCTGTGTGCTCTGTCCCCTCCGGAGTGCCGGCGCGGCGCACTCAGAGTGGGCAGGCCGGCCTGATGCGGGCGGCGACGCAGAGTTTCCGGGACGCCGAGGCCAAGCAGAGGGAGTTCGAGGAGAAGGTCGAGGACGCGCTTCGCAGGCCAGCCACAACTTGGGGAGCTGTGGTCCTTACCCCCATGGGGGACCCATCTATTTCGACACCCCTCTCGAGAGATCGTCGATGCGATGGGTTCCCCAGGGGGGTAAGGACCAGAGCTCCTCCGGTTACGGCTGGTCGGCTTCGGATTCGGGCGAAGGATTTTTTTTTGCAACTGTGGTCCAACGAATGTTCGCAATAGTTCGTGCAATTGTTGGTGCGGGATACGCACGTCGTACAATATCGGTGCGTGGCTGCCAGGCGCAATGCGCCACGAGAAAAAGTATTCATTTTTGTTTGCGGTCCCACTGTGAAAGACCCTCTGTCCCAGGAGCCAAGCTCTGGGCGTGCGAACCCAGAGATCCGAGGCTTCGCAAAACTTGGAGCGGTCAGTTTTGGGCAACGTTCTGCCTCTGGGGGCCCTCAACGGGACCCAAGACCGTCAAGAACCGACTCGGGATGAACAGTTGGCCTTGGGGAAGCTATCCTGACCTCCGGGGGTCCACGCATCGACCAACAGAGGAGCGCCAGACGCCTGGGAAGTCTCCAATTGGAGCGCCAGATGTCTGGGAGACCGGCTGCGCGAGCCATTCTGCCTCCTCATCCCGCTGACCTTTCTGCGCGGTGCAGGTCTCTCAGGAGGGAAAGGAACGCATTGACACAATTGTTCGAAAATATGGGAAGTGGGGGGGGAGAAGAAAACCTAGAACATATTAGAAAATACTGGTACTCCAGGGATTTGTGTGTATTTATTTGTGTGTCCCTGGGCTCCTGAAGTCTCTGCCGTGTTCGCCGCGCGCAGTGCCTCGGCACTTGGGCGTGTGCAGAAGTCGGGGGCCACGGGCCAGAGCACACTGCTCCCCTCCCGTGGCATCGCTAGGACGCGTGCATTTCCGTTTCGGCGAGGACCAGCGAGGAGCATCTCGGGCCAAAAATAGTAAAAAATAGTGTGGGGACGATTTTTTTGTTATATTTGATTATTTAAGCACCCTTTGATTATTTGTCATTTAATCGCTTCGCTCATTCCGCCGGCCTGTATTATGCCATCGTTTTGCGGTTGGGGGAGTAGGTCCTTCGAAAAATTACAGTAGATCAAGGATGGTTGCTGTCTGGGGCTTTCATGACACGTTTCTTGGTGGTGTCTTGGAGGCGGCTGCGGCCGTCTGGAGGCCATCCTTGGCGTCAGCATTCTCGACCTGTTCCCCGAGATCTCAACATGTCTCTTGTGGGCATACCGGGGGGCATCTTTTGGCCATCTTGGAGGCCTCTTGGAAGCCTCTTGGGGGCCTCTTGGGGTTCCTTTGTGGCGTCTTGGGAGCCCCTGGGGCAAAATTGCCCGGTCCAGTATCTCTGACCCGACCCTTCGGGAGCTTTGAGACGGGGGTCAATGCAGACGGGGGTCAGCCAGGGCGCCGGATCCTGCAGGATCCTGCGAAGGCCCCCTCTGGCTGACCCGGGTCAGGGAGCCGCTCGTGGCCGCGAGGCGGCCGCACATATTGGCTGACCCGGGTTTGCGAGGACCTGCGTTGCAGTTTTTTTTTTTTTCCTGCATTGCAGTTTTTGGTTTCCTGCTGACCCGGGTCTGGATTGACCCGGGTCAGAAGATCCCCGAACCCTGCCGGGACCCTCCCGGGACTTGCCAGGGGTACTTTTCGCCCGGGGAAACCCCAGGGGCCGCCCCGCGCCCGCGCATTAGAAGATCCTTGACCAGTTACTCCGGAGATCTTAGCACGCCTCTGGCCCGTTGGGCCGGCGAATTTGTCGTTCAAAATCACCCTGCAGGGGGGCAGGCCCGACCTGAGCCAAGCCGGCTTGGCCAGCCGAGGCCCCGTGGCCTAGCCCGAAAACTAGCCTCTTTGATGCCTCGCTGGACCGCCTGCACTCGAAGGCGAGGTGCTGCCGGGCTAGTCAGACCTGCGGCCACAAGGGATCTGCCGCTTTCTCGCCCTTCCCCTCCCCCCACCGTTTCTGGCGGCGGCGCTGCCCTGGGAGCAGCGGACCGAGAGGTAATGTCTCAGGCCGAGGGGTTAACACCAACACCAGTTGCGGCGGTGTCCCTCCACCGGGGGGAAGAAGATCCCGATCTCGGTGATGGTGGTAATAGTCTGGCTTCCAAGGTATTCTGGCTTCCAAGGTGACCGAAATATTACCACCATCACCGAAATCTAGGATTATCTTCCCCCTGTGGAGGCAACCCCCCTGGGTTGGTGTTGGTGCCCATTTCCAGGCCTCCAATCATGGGGTGGGCAGGCCGACGGGCGGCTGTTGGGAAGTCACTTCGTGGTGCCGCTGTTTGCGCTGCAATGGCGCTGTTTGCGCTGGCGCCCTGCTCCAGGCCGGGGGCGGGGAAGCATGCCCGATAAGAGCTTTCTTCATCAAGGGCGACTTGGGGCTCTCAGAGGCTTCGCCTGTGATCTCAGTTGCCTCGATACGCAGTGCGAGCCGTGCTCAGAACGACCGTGTCGATACGTTGCGTGATGGCTCAACGTACTGGCCCTCGTTGTGGCGAACGTATCGCGTCAGACCTACGTTGTCAGTCTACGTGTTGAGCTCCGTATCAATACGCTACGTGTTGCGTGTTGCAGATCGGAGCAGCTAAGCTTGTGATGGAGCTCTCTTGACCTTTAGCTTACTACCACCAAGCCGCCCAGAACCAAACCCATCGGCCCCAGCTTGCCCTCCAATCCCCGTGGGGGGACATCCCGAAACGTGCAGAATCAGATGGAGCCCGTATGCCCCCCAAACCCGAAGTTTGGGGGCTTCGGGTTGGATTGGGGTGGTCTGGTGCCTTGTCATGTGCTGCCTGGCAGGATGGCGGCCCACCATCGACCCGCCTGTCCTTCCCAGACTGAAGACGTCGGGCTTTTTTTTTGTTTCGCAGCGGCCATCCCCGGAGATTGAGACCACTTCCCCTCGGGCGGGTGGCAATGAGGGGCGATTGAACATGGGGGTGAAGAACCCAGACCTTCCAGGAGGGCTAAAAAATAGCACCAGGACATTGACATTCTACTTCCTGTCGAGGTTTGAGGCAGTCCAGATAGGTTTATAGTTCTGGAGTGTTATTTTTTGGCATTCTGGAAAGTCAGGGAAAGAGGCCCTAACGGGGCACGTCCTGGCGCCTTTTTGGAGCTGGCAGAGGCCGTAAAGGGCCCCTTTGGGGCCCATTTCGTGACCCCCCCGTTTGGGCCACCCCCCGTTGCCACCCGCCCGATTCCCCAGGACCAGCTTTTCACCCTGGGTTGGGTTTTGGCGTCGACTACAGTCGGCCCTGATTAGTAGGTCGACCCTGCCAAATCGAGGGTACCCTTGCGTTCAGTGTTTTTCGCTGGCAACATGGTCCTTGGAAGGGTCTCGGGTCCTTTCGCGTGCCCTCTCCAATCAAGTCCGCCTGTAGCCGATGACGGTCCCGCGGCCCGGTGAAGGGCCCCGGAGGCGGAAAGAGGACAGAGAACCGTCCGCCGTGTTTCTCCGACGACGCAGGGAGGTCCGGGCTGGGAAGCACCCCGCCTGGCCGGGAAGAGGAGCTGGAGCGCATCCAGGAGGAGCTCGCGCTGGCCATGGGCCTGAGCTCTTTGGAGGAGCTCAGGTCCCGCGCCGAGGAGCTGGGGTACGACTCCGTGGAGGAGCCGGCGGGTCCTACCACTGCGAAGCGCAGGGGTGGATCTGCACGATCGGAATGTGCAGTGTTGCCTAGACTTGCCCCTGGGCCGAGGTGCCCCCAGAACTTCCAAGGAGGCCCCCACGGCCTCCAGAGCACCGCTCGCGAGGCCCAGGGGGCCCAGGGGCCCCAACATGGAGCGAAGAGCTGGGGGCACCTTGCGCCAGGGGCACCAGTGGCAGCCCCCGAGACTGGGCACGGGAAGAATGGGGACGAAGCAAAACAGCAGGCCCTGCTCCTGCAGCACAGGAATCGGTGCCGCCGTCGCCGCGGACGCCGTCCCTTGGAGCCAGACCGTCGCCCGTCCAACGCCAGCCGCTGGCGCACTGTCGGGCAGAGCTCTCCTGCTGCGGGGCAGTCGGCAACTGTGCCCCGCACCCCCTGCCGGCCGCGCCGGCAAGCGTTCGCTCGCCAGCGCTCCTGCCCCGGCACTGGCGCCCTGCTCGCCCCTCCGGGCTCCGACCCCGCCCTCCCCCCCTCGGGGGAGAGGGGGCGGAGGCCATCCCCGTCGGCTCTTCGAGGCTCCCTCGCCTCCGGATGCTCTCCGGCGGCGCCTCGTCGAGAGCTGCCTCTGCGGTGGCGGCCCAGACTGCGCCGGACGGCCGCAGAGGCAGCGAGTTGTGGCCCCAGATCGGACGGGGCTAGAACGAGGATAAATCCGTTCCAGAGCGTTCCGGAACGCTCTCAGAGCGTTCCGGGACGCTTTGAGAAGGTCGCGGCGCCCGAGACATCCTCCAGAGCCGCCAGATCTCAGAGATCCTCGATTTCTCTTCACCCGAGTTTATCCTCGTCATGGCAACGTCTTACGAAAGCCACCAGACGTCGGTGGTCCCTTTTCCGCCCCTCTGCTCAGCGAGAGCGTGGTCCAGACAGGGTGGCGGGCTGCGCGGCCACGTATACAGGCATGACGTTGAGGCAAGTATTGTTTCGGGCTCAGGATGGGCCCTGGTGTTAGATCCATTTTGGTGGGTCTAGTCATGGCCGAGTCGAGCAAAATCAGCGGACCGCGTGGTAGCACAATGACTGTACAGAGTGGTAGTTGGCAGGTTCACTCGTCCCACTTCTTATGAGAGGAGGATTGTAGCACAACGTCGCACTTGCAACTACCGCGCGCCACTTGGTTGTGTCACTGCCACCGCTACTACGAGCATTACCGCTCGCCAGATGAGGGCCGCAAACATCCCCTGGAGGATGTCAGGGCCCCCCCCAGACTTGGCTTCCGAGTGGCACTCAGATGCCAGGGCCATACCGAGGCCCTGGAGCGACGGCCTTGGCACTCCTTCAGGCGAGCCCGCGTAGAATCCCGAGAGAGGCCTACCCTGGGTGGGATATCCGTAAGGGCTTCGCCCCCTGCCGCCGGCCCCCTCTCTCGGAGAATGGGCCATGGAAGAGCTAAGTCATGAGGCCTTGGCGCTGTCGTGAAGCAGTATCGAAACTTCATGCGAAGCCGAGTCGCAATCAGCAAAACCAACTGATCACAAGAGGGGTTACCACACCTGGCGATTGGTAAGACGTGTATGGTTTAAGGGCTTGGTTACCACACCTTGCGATGAAAGGGCCGAGGGAGTTCTCGCAGTTTGGGTTACCACGCCTTGCGATGGATGTGCGTGATGGGTTGGAATTTCAGAAATGTGGCAAATCCCCTGTGTTTTTGGACCCTGACCCCGCGGATCTGCGTGAGGGGTGGCGCGAATTTCAGAAATGTGGCAAATCCCCTGTGTTTTTGACCCTGACCCCGCGGATCTGCGTGAGGGGTGGCACCGACTTTCAGAAATGTAGCAAATCCCCTGTGTTTTTGGACCCTGACCCCGCGGATCTGCATGAGGGGTGGCACCGAATTTCAGAAATGTGGCAAATCCCTGTGTTTTTGGACCCTGACCCCGCGGATCTGCGTGAGGGGTGGCACCGAATTTCAGAAATGTGGCAAATCCCCTGTGTTTGTGGACCCTGACCCCGCGGATCTGCGTGAGGGGTGGCACCGAATTTCAGAAATGTGGCAAATCCCTTGTGTTTTTGGACCCTGACCCCGCGGATCTGCGTGAGGGGTGGCACCGAATTTCAGAAATGTGGCAAATCCCTTGTGTTTTTGGACCCTGACCCCGCGGATCTGCGTGAGAGGTGGCACCGAATTTCAGAAATGTGGCAAATCCCTTGTGTTTTTGGACCCTGACCCCGCGGATCTGCGTGAGGGGTGGCACCGAATTTCAGAAATGTGGCAAATCCCTTGTGTTTTTGGACCCTGACCCCGCGGATCTGCGTGAGGGGTGGCACCGAATTTCAGAAATGTGGCAAATCCCTGTGTTTTTGGACCCTGACCCCGCGGATCTGCGTGAGGGGTGGCACAGAATTTCAGAAATGTGGCAAATCCCCTGTGTTTTTGGACCCTGACCCCGCGGATCTGCGTGAGGGGTGGCACCGAATTTCAGAAATGTAGCAAATCCCCTGTGTTTTTGGACCCTGACCCCGCGGATCTGCGTGAGGGGTGTCGATTTCGAGCCCCCCCAGCAATTCAGACAACGCGCCCAGGGGACGCTGGAAAATCCTGTTTGGGCCTCCCCCCTCCTCGCGCGGTCAATCAACTAGTTACAGTAACCAGCAAGAAGCAGAACTGTAACACTGGAAACTACAAGCTACAACTGGTACTGGAAACTGCGAACCCGTGCCTACAGCCTGGTGGCCCCACAAGGGGGCCGGCGGATTACTCGAGGGGCGGGCGGCTAATCTTCCGACGGAGCTTGGCCATCCCCCCCCCCCTCCTCCTCCTCCTTCTCCTCCTCCTCCTCCTCCTCCTCCACGCCCCCCTCCACCCGTTCCGACAGCACGTGCCCAAACCTCCCAGCGGATCCAAGGGGGGGGGGCGATTATTGCTTCATCCAGAGTGGGCCATGTTGATGCTGCGCTGCGGCCATGGTTGAGGCCTCGGGGCGAATGCCGAAGCACCTGCCAGACGCGATTTCCGGCGTGGCTGGGGCCGTGGTGGGGCTGTCCTGAGCCCCCCGGGGCGAGGGTTTCCCAACCAGGCCTTTTCAGTGAACAGGGTCTACATCTGTCTTCATTTCGCCCGTGCCTCGTGCTCTCCGATCAGCACCCTGTGCTTCTCGTTGCCGTTCTCGTCCTCGTGGTTGTAGGCGTTCTCGTCCTCGTCCTCGTCGCCGCCCTCGTAGTGATCGCTGCAGTCGTCGTCGGTGTCGTCGTCGTCGTCGCCGTCGTTATTCTCGTCGGCGTGTTCGTCGTCGTCGGGGGGGGACCCTGTCCCGGGCACAACAGCTCTTGTGCACACCACAGCGCTTGCGTACACCACATCAGCCATGTGCAACACAGCACCAGTGTACTCTGACGCTGCGTTGCACACAGTTGTTGCGGTACGCAGGCGCTGTGGTATACACGCGCGTTGTGGTACACGCGAGCGATGTGGTGTACACAGGCGCAGTGGGGCGTATCGCCACCTACATGCTGCTCGCGTCGTCGTCGTCGTCGCTCGTCGCTCGTCGCTCGTCGCGTCGCGCGCGTGGGCGCGGCTGCAGCGCAGGAGCCAAACGGCGGGGGAGGGGGCGTTACGTCATACCCCCCCCTCGCCGCCCCCCCCCCCCCCCCCCATGACGCCCGTCATCGCCGAACATAAAGAAACGCGCTATGTCCTTCTCTCCCTGGCTTCGCTCGTCGGCGCAGCCAGTGCCTTCTCTAGGAGGCCACACCCGAAGCCTACCCCACCACCCCACGATTTCTAAGGGCGGTGACCTCGTTCGGGGCCTCTCGAGCGAAGTGACCCCCACCTCCTCCTCTAGGAATCGTGGGGTGATGGGGTCAGGGTTCGCCCGTGGCCTTCTGTAATCCGTTTTCTGTCGCGCTGTGCTCAGCACGGGCTGGGGCACGTTCCGCAAGTTTTGCCGAAGTTGGGCTGAAGCATCGGCCTGTGCATGCCTCGTCGCCCGCGCGAGCCCGACACGAACGAATTCCAGAAGAGCAGGCTCCAGCCCGTCCGCTCCTGGCTTCGCTCGGGAGCTTGCTCCAGAGCTGGCTCCGCTGTGTCGGGGGAGGGGGCGTGAGAGAGAGAGCAGTGAAGCAAACCATGACATAATCACGAAACCTCGGAGGTCCGCGCGGATTTCTCGGATCGGCGCTGGAACCCCCTTCCCTGGCGCGTGGAGCGCTCCAGGGGCGCCGCCAGAGGCGCCGCCAGGGGGCTCCAACCTGGGCGGATCTCCGAGTTGTGTCCCCACCTGACAGGTTGGGGACGCTTTTTTTTAAGAACAGACCTCCGGGCCCGCCTGTATTATGGTTTGTTATGTCATGGCATGTTGAGGTACCTCATGTAATGTTATGCTGCTATGATGTGTGGTGTTGTGATATGTGCTGTATGCTCCGCTCTGTCATTGCATGCGCTGTTCCCCACCTGACTGGTTGGGGCAGCTAGATTTTCAGAACAGACCTCCAGGCCCGCCCACCCTGCATACCGCGGCCGCCAGATCCCCGGGTCCACCGAGAGCCCCCCGAGACCTCCACCCTGGCGCCGACCCGCCCACTCTCCACACCGCGGCCGCCCCGATCCCCAGGTCCACCGAGAATCCCCGCACCCGAGATCCCCGCCTCGTCCCTTCGACGAACAGGGCAGAACCTGGCAGAACTCACCATAACACCACACAGCACAACATAGCATAGCATAGCTCACCATCGCACGACATGACTGACCCTAATACTTCACGCGGAAACAGAGCAGCGCGTACCACAACACAGCATTACATGGCATGTCGCTTCATATCATGATAAAGCATGTCAGGACTGCGCTGCTTATATTGTAACATGCCATTACGTTGCATAAGATAACATAACACATTGTTTTGTTTCGGGCGATATCCACCGGAATTGTCGGCGTTTGTTCCCGACGGTGCGCGCGCCTACTGGAACCATGTGTGTGGGGTCCGGTGGAATTCTCACAACTCCATAGCCCCGGAGGAAAGAAACCGAAACAAGCCTTGAGGCGAAGAAACATGCCCCCAAACGCCTGGTGCGAGACGCCAAAACTTGTTCGGAGAGAATCAGCAGCCTGTTGAAAGAGCAGGATGAGGAGGAGGAGGCAGCAGCAGCAGGAAAAGGAGCAGGCGGGCTTCCTGACGTTTGTTTTCTCTTCTGCTCATGTATGCTTTGTTGTGCTATGTTATGCAATGTTATGTTCGTGCTATGTTATGCAAAGTTATGTTATGTGCTGTCGTGATGCGCCTCTTGAAATCTGTCGTTATTGTATACGCGAGTTTTCATGTATGTTCCATGCAGTTGTTCTAATATATATAAGGCTACATTATATCCTGTTATGTTCTCGCCAGGCTGGCGTGAAGTCGTGACGCCTCGCCAGGATCCTTTACTCAGGATCCCTGACACAGGATTCCTCGCTAAGAGTTCTTAATGCGGGACCATGATTTAGGATTCCGTCATGAGGGTTCTTGAATTCGGATTCCTCATGTAGAGTCCTATAGGAAGGACACCTGACTCAGGATTCCTGAGGGAGGAGTCCTTACGAAGGGTTCCTTATTAACGAGTACTTACCCCGGATTCCTGACTAAAGATCAAGAGATCCTCAGTAAGGGTTACCTAATAAGGGCTCACTGTCAACCATTCCTCAGTAGGGCTTCCTGGTAAGGACACCTTACTACGGTTTCCTTACGGATTCCTCCTCGAGGATTCTTTACTACCGGGTCCGTCTAAAGGGTTCTTCATTCAGGATTCTTCCAGGGTTCCTCACGAAGGATTTCCCTTCAGGGTTCCCTCTTAAGAATTCCGTACCGAGGAGTCCTTACTAAGGAGTTTTCTAAGGAGGCGTTACTAAGGAATCATTACTAAGGACCCAGATGAAGTATTGGAATCTGTGTTTATTTGTTCGTTTTGTTTGTTGTTCCTCTCGTGTTTTCAGGGTGTTTCAGCGTTCGGTATGTGAATTCTGTGTTGTTCGTTGTTCTCCCGGTGGTTTGTTTGGTTACTGCAGCCCCCAATCTGAGGAAGAGGAATATCGGGAAGATGAGAACGGAGGAGGAGGAGGAGACGGGGAGAGAGAGAGGGAGAGGGAGATGGAAAGAGAGGGAGAGAGAGAGAGAGAGAGAGAGAGAGAAGGAGAGAGAGGGAGAGTGAAGCATGAGGTGAACAGAGAAGAGGAGAAGAGAAGACGGGCGCCCCCCGCCTCTCTTTGGGGCAGGAAAAGCAGGGGGACCGAAAGACGGCGTGGGCGTCCCGGGGGCCAGACCAGGCGCCTCAAACCTCTATCCCGTGGCCGTTCTGGCTCAAGCGGCGTCCGCGCCCGCATCCACGCGCCCGCACCCGCGCGCGCGCGCGGCGGGCTTCACCCACGCGTCGGGGCACGGCGGCCCCGTCCTGGGCGCCGCTTCTCCTCCGCAGCAGGGTGCGCTCTTCTGCCGATGGCGCGGGCCGTGCCGTCGACTCCGCCGCCGCCGCCGCCGCCGCCGCCGACTCTGCGGGCGGCGCTGGCCGTCGGCGGCGGGCGCCACGCCCGGGGCGCGCCGGGCGAGGAGCCCCGGCGCAGCGCCGAGCCCCGAGAGCCGGAGGCGCAGCACGGCGTGGCGGCGCGGCCGTCGGGGCAGGAGTGGAGCAGCGCCGAGCAGGGCACGGCTCCGCTCGCCGGGGGCTCCGGCTCGCAGGGCTTCCAGGAGCTCCTGCAGCGGCTCGCGTCCGTGCACGCCGCGGAGGTGGAGGAGGCGCGCGCGCTGCGCAGAGAGAACGCCGGCCTGAGAGCCGCGCTCGGGCCGCGGAGCACAGTCTTGACCACCACGGACGCGACGCTCCCTCGCAGTTCTGCGGGCCGCTCCACCATCAGTGTCCATAACATAACCACCTCAAGCAGCAACCAAGGGGGCGAAGTCGACCACTGCTACTCCTCGGAGCAGGAGGGCGATTCGGCGTCTGAGCTCGTGGGTGACAGGGAGCACCACGCCACGTCCGAGCAGGAGCGCACGCTTCAGGCCCACTGGCTGAAGGCGGAGCACCCGAATGATCCTCATACAATTTCCGCGTCCGTCGTGTCGTACACGGAGATGAGCGCCACCTTCCGCGCGGAGACGGCAGAGCTAGACTCGGAGGACATAGAGTCCAAAAGAGGCTCAAACAATTGGTTCCCGCAGTATCCCAACAGCCAGTCGCGCATCCTCTGGGACTGCGTGGCGGCCATGTTGGTGTTCTACGACGTCGTCATGTTGCCGCTGGTGGTCTTCAAGTTCGGGAGGAACGACTTCATGATATCGATGGACTGGATCGCGCTGATCTTCTGGACGATCAACATGCCAGCCTCCCTGTGCGTTGGTTACGTGGCCCATGAGGAAATGGTAATGGACATGCGGAGGATCCTGCTGCACTATTTGAAGACCTGGTTCATCCTGGACGTCCTCATCCTGTTGCCGGATTGGGCGTTTATCATCGTCAGCGGAGGAGGCCAGGACGAAGATTCGGCCGACCAGAGCCACGCTGGGGTGTTGCGCGTGCTGCGCCTGAGCCGCATGACACGGCTGGTGCGCCTGTTGAAACTGCAGAGCTTCTTCCAGAGCGTCTACTACGCAATCGAGAGTGAATACGTCAGCATCGTGATTCACATCGTGCAGATGATAGCACTCGTGCTGATATTCTGCCACATGATCGGGTGCATATGGTTTTACGTCGGCGACACGCAGGACGGGAAGCCAACATGGATGAACGTCCACGGCTACGACGAAGAGGACTGGTGGTACCAGTATGCGCTCGCGTTCCACTGGTCCATCACGCAGTTCACCCCGTCGACGAACGACATCGCCCCGAAGAACATGACTGAGCGGGTCACGGCCATCTGTGTGGTGGTCTTCGCGCTGGTGGGCTTCACCTACATCGTCGGCAGCATCACCGGGTCGCTGGCGCATCTCCGCAGCCTATCGGAGGGGAGTTCAAAGATGTTCTGGGACCTGCGCCGCTACCTGACCCACTTCCGCGTCCACCCCACGCTGGCGCTCCGGATCGAGAAG